TTGGTCGAAATTCATGTCCAAATCTTACCCCAAGATTCGTATATAGACATGGTTCAAAATTTACCACCCCCATAACTCGGTCAAATCTTATCCGATTTTCATGAAGTTTGGATTTTTCTTCATTATTTTCCCTCTAGATTAATCTGGCATTCAAATCTCGACACCGATTTTTTGGTCGAAATTCATGTCCAAATCTTACCCCAAGATTCGTATATAGACATGGGTCAAAATTTACCACCCCCATAACTCGGTCAAATCTTATCCGATTTTCATGAAGTTTGGATTTTTCTTCATGGGTTTCCCTCTAGATTAATCTGGCATTCAAATCTCGACACCGATTTTTTGGTCGAAATTCATGTCCAAATCTTACCCCAAGATTCGTATATAGACATGGTTCAAAATTTACCACCCCCATAACTCGGTCAAATCTCATCCGATTTTCATGAAGTTTGGATTTTTCTTCATGGTTTTCCCTCTAGATTAATCTGGCATTTAAATATGAACAGCGATTTTTTAGTCGAAATTCATGTCCAAATCTTACCCCAAGATTCGTATATAGACATGGGTCAAAATTTACCACCTCCATATCTCGGCCAAATCTCATCCGATTTTCACGAAGTTTGGCTTTTTCTTCATGGTTTTCCCTCTAGATTAATCTGGCATTCAAATCTCGACACCGATTTTTTGGTCGAAATTCATGTCCAAATCTTACCCCAAGATTCGTATATAGACATGGGTCAAAATTTACCACCTCCATATCTCGGCCAAATCTCATCCGATTTTCACGAAGTTTGGATTTTTCTTCATGGTTTTCCCTCTAGATTAATCTGGCATTCAAATCTCGACACCGATTTTTTGGTCGAAATTCATGTCCAAATCTTACCCCAAGATTCGTATATAGACATGGTTCAAAATTTACCACCCCCATAACTCGGCCAAATCTTATCCGATTTTCATGAAGTTTGGATTTTTCTTCATGGTTTTCCCTCTAGATTAATCTGGCATTCAAATCTCGACACCGATTTTTTGGTCGAAATTCATGTCCAAATCTTACCCCAAGATTCGTATATAGACATGGGTCAAAATTTACCACCTCCATATCTCGGCCAAATCTCATCCGATTTTCACGAAGTTTGGATTTTTCTTCATGGTTTTCCCTCTAGATTAATCTGGCATTCAAATCTCGACACCGATTTTTTGGTCGAAATTCATGTCCAAATCTTACCCCAAGATTCGTATATAGACATGGTTCAAAATTTACCACCCCCATAACTCGGCCAAATCTTATCCGATTTTCATGAAGTTTGGATTTTTCTTCATGGTTTTCCCTCTAGATTAATCTGGCATTCAAATCTCGACACCGATTTTTTGGTCGAAATTCATGTCCAAATCTTACCCCAAGATTCGTATATAGACATGGTTCAAAATTTACCACCCCCATAACTCGGCCAAATCTCATCCGATTTTCACGAAGTTTGGATTTTTCTTCATGGTTTTCCCTCTAGATTAATCTGGCATTCAAATCTCGACACCGATTTTTTGGTCGAAACTCATGTCCAAATCTTACCCCAAGATTCGTATATAGACATGGTTCAAAATTTACCACCCCCATAACTCGGCCAAATCTTATCCGATTTTCATGAAGTTTGGATTTTTCTTCATGGTTTTCCCTCTAGATTAATCTGGCATTCAAATCTCGACACCGATTTTTCGGTCGAAATTCATGTCCAAATCTTACCCCAAGATTCGTATATAGACATGGTTCAAAATTTACCACCCCCATAACTCGGTCAAATCTCATCCGATTTTCACGAAGTTTGGATTTTTCTTCATGGTTTTCCCTCTAGATTAATCTGGCATTTAAATATGAACAGCGATTTTTTAGTCGAAATTCATGTCCAAATCTTACCCCAAGATTCGTATATAGACATGGGTCAAAAATTACCACCCCCATAACTCGGTCAAATCTCATCCGATTTTCACGAAGTTTGGATTTTTCTTCATGGTTTTCCCTCTAGATTAATCTGGCATTTAAATATGAACAGCGATTTTTTGGTCGAAATTCATGTCCAAATCTTACCCCAAGATTCGTATTTAGACATGGGTCAAAAATTACCACCTCCATATCTCGGCCAAATCTCATCCGATTTTCACGAAGTTTGGATTTTTCTTCATGGTTTTCCCTCTAGATTAATCTGGCATTTAAATATGAACAGCGATTTTTTAGTCGAAATTCATGTCCAAATCTTACCCCAAGATTCGTATTTAGACATGGGTCAAAAATTACCACCTCCATATCTCGGCCAAATCTCATCCGATTTTCACGAAGTTTGGATTTTTCTTCATGGTTTTCCCTTTAGATTAATCTGGCATTCAAATCTCGACACCGATTTTTTGGTCGAAGTTCATGTCCAAATCTTACCCCAAGATTCGTATATAGACATGGGTCAAAAATGACCACCCCCATAACTCGGTCAAATCTCATCCGATTTTCACGAAGTTTGGATTTTTCTTCATGGTTTTCCCTCTAGATTAATCTGGCATTCAAATCTCGACACCGATTTTTTGGTCGAAGTTCATGTCCAAATCTTACCCCAAGATTCGTATATAGACATGGGTCAAAAATGACCACCCCATAACTCGGTCAAATCTCATCCGATTTTCACGAAGTTTGGATTTTTCTTCATGGTTTTCCCTCTAGATTAATCTGGCATTCAAATCTCGACACCGATTTTTTGGTCGAAATTCATGTCCAAATCTTACCCCAAGATTCGTATATAGACATGGGTCAAAATTTACCAACCCCATATCTCGGCCAAATCTCATCCGATCTTCACGAAGTTTGTATTATTTTTCATAGTTTTCCCTCTAGATTAATCTGGCATTCAAATCTCGACACCGATTTTTTGGTCGAAATTCATGTCCAAATCTTACCCCAAGATTCGTATTTAGACATGGGTCAAAAATTACCACCTCCATATCTCGGCCAAATCTCATCCGATTTTCACGAAGTTTGGATTTTTCTTCATGGATTCCCTCTAGATTAATCTGGCATTCAAATCTCGACACCGATTTTTTGGTCGAAGTTCATGTCCAAATCTTACCCCAAGATTCGTATATAGACATGGGTCAAAAATGACCACCCCCATAACTCGGTCAAATCTCATCCGATTTTCACGAAGTTTGGATTTTTCTTCATGGTTTTCCCTCTAGATTAATCTGGCATTCAAATCTCGACACCGATTTTTTGGTCGAAGTTCATGTCCAAATCTTACCCCAAGATTCGTATATAGACATGGGTCAAAAATGACCACCCCATAACTCGGTCAAATCTCATCCGATTTTCACGAAGTTTGGATTTTTCTTCATGGTTTTCCCTCTAGATTAATCTGGCGTTCAAATCTCGACACCGATTTTTTGGTCGAAATTCATGTCCAAATCTTACCCCAAGATTCGTATATAGACATGGGTCAAAATTTACCAACCCCATATCTCGGCCAAATCTCATCCGATCTTCACGAAGTTTGTATTATTTTTCATAGTTTTCCCTCTAGATTAATCTGGCATTCAAATCTCGACACCGATTTTTTGGTCGAAATTCATGTCCAAATCTTACCCCAAGATTCGTATATAGACATGGTTCAAAATTTACCACCCCCATAACTCGGCCAAATCTTATCCGATTTTCATGAAGTTTGGATTTTTCTTCATGGTTTTCCCTCTAGATTAATCTGGCATTCAAATCTCGACACCGATTTTTTGGTCGAAATTCATGTCCAAATCTTACCCCAAGATTCGTATATAGACATGGTTCAAAATTTACCACCCCCATAACTCGGTCAAATCTCATCCGATTTTCACGAAGTTTGGATTTGTCTTCATGGTTTTCCCTCTAGATTAATCTGGCATTTAAATATGAACAGCGATTTTTTAGTCGAAATTCATGTCCAAATCTTACCCCAAGATTCGTATATAGACATGGGTCAAAAATGACCACCCCCATAACTCGGTCAAATCTCATCCGATTTTCACGAAGTTTGGATTTTTCTTCATGGTTTTCCCTCTAGATTAATCTGGCATTCAAATCTCGACACCGATTTTTTGGTCGAAATTCATGTCCAAATCTTACCCCAAGATTCGTATATAGACATGGGTCAAAATTTACCAACCCCATATCTCGGCCAAATCTCATCCGATCTTCACGAAGTTTGTATTATTTTTCATAGTTTTCCCTCTAGATAAATCTGACATTCAAATATGAACAGCGATTTTTTAGTCGAAATTCATATTACCCCAAGATTCGTATGGGTCAAAATTTACCACCCACATATCTCGCCCAAATCTCATCCGATTTTCACGAAGACTGGCTTTTTCTTCATGGTTTTTTTTCCTGCTCATATGGTTCTTTTTATCCTGAAATGTAAGGGGGGAAAGCATGACAGCTAGAGCTCGCGCAGCTTAGGAGTTCTGGCCGTCGTGGGATCGAAGATTGCAGCTACGTGTCGCATGGGTAATGAAAATTTGTCTGATTATTGTATTTAATACATTTCATTTACTTTTATTCTCTACGAAAACGACTGAAGATATTTCCCCATGTAAATTTATCTTGTAAGCTGACTAAAAATGTCAGTTCTGCATATTGTGACTGTTTTTTAAATATCACCCGCAACTGTGAAAAATGGGCGAAAACCGGTTTTGGGAATATCCATTTGAGACATCCCTCCCAACTCGATGGTAAATGGAGGACTATGTTTATGAGCGAAACTACGAAATACCTGCCTAATGATAATGTAACGACCACCAAGGTGTTACAACAATTGGATGAGCTTGCCTGTATGTAAGCATGATTAAATGTTTCCTGGTCGAACGGTTATAATACACCCTTGAAAAAGTATACAATAACTTTGGTGAGTGATATTCTGCTATGCACGAAGTGCACTTGTAATTAACACTTGGGCTGCTGTCAATTGTCAATTTGTAATTTGAAAATTTTTACTTACAAATGGCGCTGCATGCAGATGGCCCTGTCCGGTATGCAACTGCTGGTACTGCTGCGGAGGCAGCACAACATGGGTCAGTGTTCCATTCTCATTTACATATGGTGGCACCTGCACCGGCATCGTCATCGTCGGCGGCTGGCGGTTGTGGGACACCATTTGAACAGCCGTGGGACCTGCAAACACACAAGAAGAGAAGAGTCAGGTTTAGTGCACAATGAAATGAAGTTATTGTTATGAATAAATTATCCTAGGGGTGCCAAAAGTGATATTCCCTTGCAGACATTTGACTGATGGACGATCACACCTCAGCCAACAGCTGTGAAGTAAAGTAGACCAGTGTTAAGAAAAGTGTTTATACAACAACTCGATGAGAACATGAAATCATAGTTATTATGCGGCAGCCGGCTATTTAATACATACCTAGGTCCGACCCGGCTGGCTCCGACATATGTATGAGTTGTTGTCCAAACAAGATAGCTTGAACAAGTAAGAGTGTTCTAGGCGGGAGTGTCCGACTATGTCATACCCTGAACCTAGTTTCTGTCTATACACAAAAAAGCTAAGATTCGCTAAGGCTACGAACCCTTTTTATGATTTTGTTCATACTTTTCGAGAGTTGTGCTCAAGATATTTTGATAAGCAAGAAGTTTTGCATAGGAACACAATATTCGACCAAGCCATGAAGTTAAATGAATAAAACTGTAATTCTCTTCGCAAGGGCAGAAAAAGACTAGACTAAATTTCATTCGAGCCCAGTTCGGGCAATAGTTAGCTTACTAGGGAAATGTATGTATATGCATACAAGAATGGTAGAACATAAATATTCGTAAAGCTGGGGCGGGACCTAATCAGCCGTAAAAAGTAGCCCCGCATAGCCAGCCGTTCTTTGGCTGCGGCTCCATTCCACGTACTCTCTACTTAGGTGTAAAAATGCCAGTTTAGTGCGTTGATGCGTACCGTTGCAAAGTAGAATTGATGATAGTTGATAACAACAACAGCTGAAAGTGCAATCCATTTAATAGGCGGGGGATGTCTGAGTGTGCCCGGTGTAATTTACATACATCAGGTAATGAAGCAAGTTAGAAAACAGTGCTCGGGAATGGACGACTAGGAGATACCCTTACGCTTCATTTAGTATATGAATGGTAACTGGTTAATATACTCCACAATAAATTCTGTGTGTTGGGTCCGACATTTATGAAATTTCCATTGTTATAACTTTATCAATGATTTTTTTTTTTAATTTTACCTTTTTTTGTAAATGTTATCTCTAAGTTTTATAAAAACCTCTATCTCAAATAGATATAAAATAAACTCTACTGCATATAACACAAAAGAATCAAGTTTGTAAATTGTAACTTCTAATAGATTGTAATATTAGTTACCCATCTTTAAAAGGGTAAAGGGTATATAAACAAGAATAATATGTCTTCTGGTTATTTCAGAACAATTGTTCTTACTGAAGCTTTATGGTATAGTAGTTGGATTTGGACAGGACACATGTTAGTAGCAACACAATAAACAAAAACTTCGTTTTCAAAACAAACTCATCTGAACGATTCCAACATAATATATGTACACCATATGGACCAGATCGTTCGAAAACGTCTTTTCCTATGCGTTACACATATCGTGACTAGATTATACCCTCAGCAAGGGTATAAATACCGACTAGACAGCTCCGGCGGGTTGCAAAGTGTTAAAAGGCAGCACACAGTTAAACGTCGAGGCCTGTGGATTGCTGATTTCTGCGCGGGGTGCAGACAGGGTGGGGCTTAACATTTGGCCAGCAGACAGTAAAATACTTGCAAGGCGAATGCGTCAGAGTGGCGGCTATTTGCACTTAAACTCAAACTTAATTAATGCTAAACAGCTTAGGAGCACAAGAACTAGCTGGCAAAGGTTGGTACTCTTCCCTGGATTCCTTAGCTCGCAAGCAAATTAAATGATGTTATGAATTCAAGGTAGAAAAACTAAATCATCTTTTAATTTCAATTGCATTCAAAATTGTGTTTTCTTCCAAGACATTACACGTACCGAACACATGTTAGGCTCTTGTTACATCGAAAACAAATATTTTAGGATTTATTGTACAAACAAAGCCGCAAATTGTTGTTGATTTGGCAAATTTTGCGTCAAAGAAATTGTGGTGCAAATATTGGATAAATATTCGTTTGACTTTCACGAGCCTGTAACGTAAAAAAAACGCAAATATTATTTTATGACATTCCGATTTAAACAAATAATTTCCCAAATAAAGCAACGCTCTTTAATGAGGACGAACGCACTTTACCCCCAGCAAGAAGAGTAAATATAACACCTATGTGCGGGATATAAGTACTACCTACTGGATACGACATTCCTTACATTTCGGAGAATTTCAACGTGTGTTCAAATATACCTGTTGCAACATTTTACACAACCTTGGTACAAATAATATCCTTGCAGAGGCCATTGCAATCGTCCCTCGAAATGCATGCATTATATATTTATTTCTGGACCAGGACAACGAGCCTAGTTTATTTTTAGTTGTTTGTATGTTTCTCTGCAAACTATCTTTGCTCGTGGCAGTACATACAAGGTTGGGTCGGAACGTTTTATAAATGGATATATATACTATATTCAATTTCAGCAAATAAGCATACATAATAAATGTTTGCAAATGTATTTAAGCAGTGCCCATACGTCGGGTCTCTTTTTATAGCTAAGTATGTAAATGTAATGCAAATCTGTTATATTGATGCAAGGATATCTTTTATGGCAGGCAATATTGTTATCCAACCGGATAAACATCAACAGGATGTCCCTTAACCTGCAGTTCCAAGCCCCGATGAATCGACAAAATAATAATTCATGTGATTGTGAATGTTTTGGAATCATTTTTTGAACATTTGCATTTAAGTAGCAGTTAATGGGGTACTCTAAGGTTTGGGTGAAATTATGCATATGCATGACTGTAAACACGTGTGTGGCAATGCTTCAAATCGATGACTGCTAATTGCGTCAAAACGCGTCATGAGTTAAACACGCTTAAACAAACAATTGGCGTAAAACGACAGTATGAGTCATTGCCAGCCGCAGAGCAGGTGGCTGAAAGTGCAAATAAGTAAGCAACGTATACAAATTTACCTTTTCAGGGGAATCTAAATTATGAATGCGGCCTAAACGATTTTAATTATCGATGCATACTACTTATAAAAGCTAATTAAAAAGAGGACATCCTTAAAATTGTGGCTGTATTTGCTATTGCCTTGTTAAATTGATTTAGAGGGTGACTCTACCTGTGAAACATAACTACCTAATTTCTATTCTTATCGATTTCATGCAAATAGTGGACAAGTTATCGAGGACTTAAAATAAATACTTATCTGCGGACTTAATCGACCCGACTGTTCATGCTCAGCAAGAACAGGGACACAAATGCCTGTTAAAACATTAGCACGGAATCATTTTTACCCAGTTAAGAGCATACAAATAAACAGGAAAGAAGGCTATCTCAGGTACGTCAAAATGTTTTTATGCAACAATTTTATTGCCGACTGACAAAAACTCGTTTTTCAATCGTTGCTTCTTCTATAACCTCTTGAAATAGTATCACGATGTTATATATGTTAAGAGCATTGCAAAGCATATGATTAAGATGTTTAGTAAACAATAAATTAATTGTAGAGCGATCGTTTCAGCTATATGATATAGTAGCCAGGTAAAGAGGACTAGGTAATATAAACTAGAATTGAAAGATGGATCTATGCTTAATGATTAAGTTTTAAGGGAAGAGACTAATTTAACCTTGCGTTCAGATGTGGATGCATTTAAATATCTCACACTGAACACTGACTTTTCGCTTTATGGCAGAAACTGAGCTGCATACTTTGTGTATCTAGCTCAAACTCTCAAATCAATGCGATGAGCCTGACGGGCAGAATAAGGACTTGCAATAACTTCATAATGTATTTAATGTATCTGGCGTAGGAAACAGAACACAGCTTTTTTTTATATCCTCTTCGACTATTTGTGAAAACAGACTTTTTGCATGTAAGCTGATTGTCGATCTGGCGTCAGAAAATAAATGGGCTCTGCCTACCAAAACTGTCAACTTTAATGCCGGCGATTACTCGATGAAATTTTCACTTGGCTAGAGAGCAACAAATGCCAAAATACTCGAAGGAGCTGTCACTGTTTAAATTGCAGTTACCATTTTGATATTTTTTTTTGGGCAGTATGCTTGAGAAGTGACATCATCTCGACTGGTCTGTGTGGTTCACTCCACACCCATGATCAGAACAAGATATGGCCTCACCCTGACCTCGTTAAGTTGCCGCATTTGCGAGTGCCCATAAAAAGTTGGAAGATTTGGAGGCAACACAGGCAGGCGTCTGCTTGCCAAGTCCAAAAGATGCGCGCTGGCGAAATGGGATTGAGGAATCCCATTCACAGGATTGCATAACTGCAAAAAGTTGAACGCTTGTCCGTCTGACCTTGTCCGTGCACCACCAGGCCTTCACATTGGCAAGGTAATAGCAGTGGGACGTGGTTAAGCCGGCCTGCAGAAATACTCTTCCGACTTGCATTCAAAAGTTTTGCCAGCAACCACTAATTGAAAGCGGAGTCGAGTCTGTCACTTGCACTTACACTTGGAGATACTTGGCGTACGAGTATATTTAGTCATTGTTTAGTTTCGCTTACCTGCAACAAGAAAGAAAAATAGTTTAGAGTAAAAAAAAAAGCATTTAGAGTAGGGAGAATAGGTGTTGAAATCGATATCCATAGATTTTTAGTCTTTACCCGCCCAATTGGTGCCAAACAATTTAGCACTTTATTTTCCGAGTCTATAAACCAAGACCTTATTTAATTGGGACAATAAACTCTGCTTTTCGTTTTGAATAAAAAGTTTTTCATACAACAATCCGTTAGCATATAATTTATATACTTGTTCAAGGCAAATTTATTAGGAAACTTTAAAAACTAGCTTGCATTTATAACAGGCGGTCAATTCGACAAGCAGCAAGATTTAGCAAGTCGCCTAACTAAGGATGTGTACAGACCAAACTATAAACTTTATGTGTAGTTTGTGCACGATTAGCTAGTTTAAAAGCTTGGCTGCATATTGAAGGAAAACTTGGCTGCATAACATAGCATAGCACAAAGAAAACCAGATGAATATGTTTAAAAT